ATTCTATTTTATTTCATTTCATTTAACTTAATATAATGTAATTTTATTTCATTTTATTGAAATTTGTTTTATTTTATTTTATTGTATTTTATTTTATTCTGTTGTACTTTATTTTATTTTGTTTTATTTTATTTTATTTTATTTTATTTTATTTTATTTTATTTTATGCATTCTGTTTTTGTTGAATTTTTGAAATTTTTTCGCCTTCTTTTTTATGGGGTAAGGCACGCCATTTGCGCTATGCGCGCTTGACCGCACCATGAACACTCTTCTTCTCCTTCTACAGTCAAGACATCTGTATCCGCAGAGCGGTTTGCTCTAGATTTTCGATCTCATTGTTTGTACATCACTATTTCGTTTTTGCTAGCATGTAATTTGGCTGCTGTTCCGGTTTCAATTCTCAAAACGAATTCGTTTACTTTACCGTTTATTGTAGACTAGATCGCCCTCACCCGCTTCGCTGGGTGTATGAAACATCTACATACGTGCTACATTGAGTAAAATTTATTTCAAGAAAACTCAATTAAGGAGGTTTAAATTTTGTTTAACCATCGTCAAAATAATTTCAAACTACATAAAACTTTCTTTCTAACTTATCATACTTTTTCAATTAACATATCCCCTGAACTCAATTTGAGATTTTAAACAGATAAAACCCCTTACATGTAGTTTTAAAATGAAGCCATTGTAAAACCATTTCGATCGATACCCATATTGTAATAATTCATTTAAATTATTGAATAGCTTGAATTTAACCTTTTAAACAGTTGGAAATCTTTTTAACCCTGTTTCGTGTGACACTCATATATATTCTGATACATATTCAAAACCATTTCGATTCATACCAATCTATAATCTATAATAATATATATTTTGAAAGCCGGTTTTTTTGTGTCCGCAAAGCTCGAGAACGGCCAAACCGATTTTTTTGAAATTCCGAGCACCTGCTTCAGACGTCCCAATGATGGTTATAGGCTAAAGAAATTCGCTATTTTTTTTTTTAATTTGGCGTGGCACCTCGCATACAAAGTCTATGTATACATATTAGATTTCTGTAGAACAGTTATACGCATCCATTTTGAAATTGTCACCAACTATACTATAAATTTTCTGCGGCAGATTCACTATAGAACCGGTTCATTGTTGTCGCCAGGGAGTGAAGAGGAAATGTTCTTCAAATTTATTTCGTTGTGAGATTAACCGTTCTATGAAATGCTGCACAATTAGAGGATTTCAAGAACTTCTTCACGGACATAACACTTTCGTTAGATTCTTTAAAGCGGCTAACGACCAGCAAACCATAATCTTAGCCGATGAGCGTGCCAATTGAAATCGTAAACGTGAATTGTTGGTGAAAATGTTGGACCAAAGTGTTTCAATGATAGAATTAATTTTGGGCGGGACGGAGTATGCCGGGTCTGCTAGTATTGTAATATTTCATTTAAGCTAATTGAATTTTATTAAAAAATTGTGGCAATCCTTGTGAAAGACTTCAATATTATTCAGAACTTTCAATCTAAAGGTTTCTTAACAATATTTCGTTAGACAACTATATTTTAATTCTTCAGATTGTTTGCGTATAATTAATTTAAATTTGACTTTTCAAAAAGGTGGCAACCCCATTTAAGATATATTCAAACTACAGCTTTTCTAATTCTCATGACATCCATTTTTAATATAATTTTCAAAAAAATAACTCCCTTAATTGAAGTTGAATTTGATTTTTTTAAAAGGTGGCAGCCCTCTTCTATGAGTAGATAATGATTTTATATATCTCCGTACCAAGTTCCAGTAATCTACCAAAAATATTTCCTGAGAAATACAGTATGAAAAAATTCGTTTGTATGGGAGGTGCCACGCCCCCTTGTCTAATCGAGATTAAATGTATCCTATATTTTAAGTTGGGCTAAATGACAGGAGTGTACAAAATTTCATAATTATCGGTTGAGTAGTTTAAGCGTGCAAGCGTAGCATACAAACAAACTCTCTGATTTATAATAAATATTAGTAAGGATATGTATTCTAGATATAAAAACGGATATCACACATAACAGTCCAGTTTGCTTTTTCAAATATGTTTGTATCAGTTTTGTGTGAGAGGTAAAAAAACGAACAAAGAATTGACCTAATCTCTTTATCGAAATTCGACAAGACGCATACAACTTTAACTAGATATGCTAGTGATGTATACAGTATACATCATTTCAGTGGCGTAGCCAGGGGGAGGATTTGGGGGGATAGATCCACCCCCTTCGTCAGTGAAATGAAACTTTTTATTTTTGAATTAATAACACAATACTATTTTACCCTTCCGATTTATAATTTTTTTATTTCAGACTGATGACAAATTATCTTTTAATGAATATATAAAATTATCGGTTGGTGGATTATGTATTTGAATATTTGCGAAATACACTAGGCCATTTCTAAATAATCAATAATCTATACAAAAACTGTACTTTTCGACTGTAAATTGTATCGACTTTTTAATTTGCTCATATGCATGCATGCATACATAGTTTCCCTTCAAGTCTAATGCTTTGATGGTATTCACGGGAAAGTTTATGTAGGTACATTTACATATTTTACACTTTTAACATAAATGTCAAGGCAGATATTTTAAGATACACTTCTTAGCAAACAAATTTTTTTAAGTTATTATAAATGGATAAAAGAAACATCTTCTTTGAAAATTCAGTACTAAAACTTGACATTTCAAGTGCTTATCAAAACTTTATACATGTTAACTAGATTGGCCATTTATCTTAAAATTATATAATTTTAATTATTTGTTTATACAAATGCAGTTTAACAAAACCCGTATAAATCCAAGGTTTAATCTTTGCGCAACATTAACAAAATCAACAAACTTTCGTAAAGCTTTTTAATTAGATTTTTTGTAAATACATATTTTGAGTATGCAGTTTTCTATCCCGATCAATTCAAATAAAGCGCAAGTTTAAAATACATAGCTGCGGCTTATCGTTGATTTTTAATATTTTTTTTTTTGATGAAGGCGTTGCTCATTTTCTTCATTAAAAAAATCGTCGAACATACTTAGATAATATGGAAGAAAATTACCGACACCGTCAAAAATATGCCATACATCAACTGTAAATCATAGGTACTTAAAATTTGCACTTTATTAGACTAAAATTGAATGAGCTAAAAAACGAGATACAATTGAAATAGAAAGTTCGAAATTTTTACGAAAGTTTGTCGATTTTTTTTTAATGTTGTTCAAAGATAAAATTATTTTCATTTAGTGTTTGTTAAGGAATAAACTATATTTTTATAAACAAATAATTCAAATTAAAATATAACGAAATAAACAGTAAAATCTAGTCAATATGTGAAGTGTCGTAAAGTTATGATATTTAAGAACATCTCTTTCTTAATTAACGATGACACTGTTTCTATATGAAGCTAATTTCGACATTTTGCTTTAATAAAATTTAGTATCGAAAATATTCTTTCAAAACTTGCCTAGGAATGTGATATAATGGTTCGTTCAAAATCTTTTTTCAAAACTTATAAAGGCAAAAACGAGAAGGCGAAGACAAAAAGAGAATAAAAAAATTTCCCGCAGTGAATTTTCAGATTTTTAAAACGGTATAGTAATTTAATTTTTTAAATTTAAATAAAGCATGAATACCCCATGGAATAAAGGAGTAGATACAAAATATATAACGGTAAAACTGGTACTTACATAAATATATGAAAGAATGCACTCAGGCGACGCCTCTAACCATTGTGTGTCACAAATTTAAGTTATCGATGGAAATTTTTTTTTCATGCCCCCCCCAAATCCTGGCTACGCTACTGCATCATATTAATTTTATAGAAGCTCTTACGTTGGTGGCATGAAGTTTTTGCCTGAGAAGATACCTAGTAAAATTTTCCAAAGAATAATTTTCGGGATATATCAATCCTCTAACGAACTTTCAAATTTGCTTTTTGTGAGGTTTCTTGAAATAAGGACCTTCTTTTCTGGCGGCAGCTAATGGGTTAAAATGTTCTACGAAAATATTTTCAATGAAATTTAACTATATATGTCTTAACCTTTAATTTCGCTCAGACATTTATTTTAACCATGGCCGGGACATGAAATCTTTAGTAGGCCATAAAAAAAAATCGAGCTTACTTTTGCAAATCAATCGAACGTTTTATTACTGGATATGTATACTTTCAGATAATATTAGCAAAGTCCGAGCTGGTATAAATTATCATGAAATTATCACACAGTGTTCCATTAATTCGTAATGGATGTGAACTTGTCAGAATGCAGAACTGGAACACACTCGCACTTCAGTAAAAGTAAAATCTTATAATTTACTGCGTATAATTATGTGTATGTATGATAAAATTTTTACACTTTTACCGGAAATCGAATTTAATCCGGCATAAATAACTATGTACTTGCAAATATTTCCATGACATTTTTCTATATAATTATTTTGCTCATTAAAAAAAAACACTCTTAATTATGTTCATATCTTCTTACTCATTGCGGCATAAACGTGCTACTTGTTTATTTTTGCTTAAAATATCAGCGACACATCAAATTAAAATAAAACTAGTCACGACCGACTGACTGCATATACATACATATAAGAGCTGAGCTCATATAACTATGTATGTATACATATAAGAGCTGAGCTCATATAACTATGTATGTATTTGTCATACAGACATTGATATCTACGTACCTGAATACATATATGTATACTTACGCATATCAATTGTTTAATATGGTGCTGATGTGACGGCATGAGCTAATGCAATTTTCAATGATCTGATCACTCAAATGAATAAGCGCATCTACATTTTATTTACATAAACAAGTTTTCCTACTAAATGCAACAAAATTAAATCGGTACTTGCAATTTTATCCCTTGTAATTTATAAATGCGAAAACACAGATTTTACATTTTTTAGCGTTTTTGTATGTACATATGTACATCGAAACTTACAAACTATTACTTATTCTTTCATTACAGTGGTCGATCATACAGCAAAGACAGTCAGAAGAGCTCCCAAAGCGATTTGAGCATGGCTAGTGCCGGCGGCGGTTCACCGAAGCTTTTGGCTAAAACTCCTATGAGTGAGTATTTATTTATTTATAAAAAATATAATTCTAGAGTTATCTACATAACTATGTATGTAATAATTATGAATAAGGTGCTTATTTCTAGGATAAAATAATTACATTTCATATGTTAGTTTAAGTTTTTTAATGTAAAACGGCCACGCTGATAAATTAGCAAAAGCGGAATGTAGCACAAAATTTATTTCAGAATAAAAATATACAATATAAACCTCTTTTCGCGTAGAATTTTACCCGAAGGTCATATGAGGGTTACATTTTTTTTTTTAATTTTTGCTGGGTTGGGTTTAACAATATACTGGACTACTAGCAGCTGGTGTCCAGCCCTCGTAAGGATGAGGCTATAGACATTCGGCAAACCATTCCTGCAGAATATTTTAGAGTGCAGCTGCCTATCTCTGTATGACATACTGAAATTTATTAAAGCCGCCAAATGGCTGTAGTTTGGAATCAACGGCAAACTTGCTTATTGCCAGTCACCAAGGTGACAATCTACCTAAACCAAGCAACCAACTGGCACCTTTATTTTCTTCTATCATATACGGCTTAGATCCTAGCGAACTTTGCGTAAAGTTTTAAATTGGCACGAAGTAATCATAAAGTTAGATTGGATGGCTGATTGGCGAGGGTCCCACTTTGCCTTACATCGTCACTTATGCTATTACTTAATGCATTTTCTGAAATGATAAGTGCCGGTAAACCCTATGGCCTTTTAGCTCACGTTCTGCAAATTAATTTAAATTCAAAAATGTTTACTATCGAGAGGATAACCCGAGGTTTTTTTTGAGTACGAGCAACATAGTGTAAGCAATGTTGCTTCATGTTTTTTGCACCATAACGCATCCTAGCGACCGTTTTTGGTAAAACTAAATTGCAGATTTAGATTCCTTGCACCCGAAATCTCCCAGAAAGGCGTTTTAATATAAAAACATTTGCCCTTAAATTATTTTTAGTTTTTTTTTTTAACAATTCCGCGTCTAGGAAGTTCAAAATGAAAAAAGCGCTTATTACCGCCAATTTGGCATTACTGAGAAATTGCTTCTCTAATATACATACATATTAAATGCAAAACAGACTTTCAGAAATCATCTTTTTCCCCAGCTGACTGCCGAACAGTGTAATAAATGATTCTTAATTTATAAATCGAATTCAAGACAACAATTAGTCCTTGAATACCTACATACATACATACATTATTATTATTATTAGGGCATATATAGCGCTGCAGCCTAGCTGGATCCATTGTGCTAGCCCTTACCAAGTCACTCCAACCTTAGGCTGTGAATAAAATTAAGCACTTTGGAGGGTGTCATTTTCCATATTCTGGATGGAGACGATATTCACTCTCCAAGGTGTAAAAGTCTGAGTCGAGTAATACGCGGCAATCACATAGTATATGCTCCGCTGTTTTATCCTCTAGCCCACAAAACCTGCAGTTCGTCTCCTCTGAGAGTCCCATCTCGTGCAGATGGTACCTCAGCCTGCAGTGTCCTGTCAGGTTCTTATACCCTCTCTGCTAAAATTTAGCAACCGTTCAGAGATTCTTCGAGAGGAAGTTATGAAGCCTATTACCCTTTATCGAGCGCCATTGGGTTGTTGCTTGCGAGTCCTCCCATCCCCTTAGGAGCTCTGCTGTGTATCCTTTGAATAGACTAAAGAAAGGCTGAGGGCCGATCAGGCTCCGTTGGGCACCGATTTTCGATAGAGTGTCAGCCCTTTCGTTGCCATCGAATCCGTCATGACCCGGAACCCACCAGAGGGTTACGCTGTTACTGGCTCGTAGTCCAACCAGTACCTTCTTGCAACTGTCTACTACCTTTGACACCATTTTAAAAGAGTCAAGTGCTCTTAACGTCGTCAGTCTGTGAGTTTTGCAACGGGATCATTTATGAATGGTTTTATAACACCTAAATTACCCATTAAATATTAAACCGTTAACTCCCACCCGGAAGGCTCGTTTTAACCCGAAAAAGGAAAAAGTGAATGAAATGCGGATTTATATATTGTCCATTTACCGATTCCATGTTTGGATACTTTGACGATCCGTTCTCCCACTAAAGTGTGTGGCAGACACTTATGTATGCATAGCCGTTATCGATTCGCCAACAGTTAGCAAGTGGCGAAACGAACGAACGTTAACTTTGTTGTTGCTTTCACATGCAACATTTTTCGTTAAGCGACCGGAACTCAAACATAGCAAGCAGCGAAGTGGCGAATCGATGACGGCTTATGTATGTGTGAGTACGCGCTTCCTACAATCATTTCCGTTTGCACTGTGATAATAAAATATAGCGCGCTTTTAGGAGGCTATGTTGCGCGGTCTTTGGTTTTCGTTGATATTTCTGCAGTTATGGCAGAGTTGAAATTTCGTTGCCTACATCTAGGCTATTTCCGTCAATGCTCACTGAAAATATACTATGAAACACATACACACGCAAAAGTTGGTAATTGTGTGACAGGAAAAGAAAAGAAAAGCAAAACCAAAATTTGTAATTATTTAATTAGATAAAAATGATTTTTAAAGTGATAACACAAAATTTTGTCATTCATGCGCCAACACCATCAAGCACTTTTGTTGTGGCAAAGTAAAATTGACCAATGCAACATTGGTAATGTTGCTCTTAACCAGCTTGCAACATTTGCTTGGCCCAACAAAATTGTTCGCGTTACTCTCTGCCTCTCTTTTTTATTACAAAATATATATACTCTATACTCTTCTATAGATCGGCAATTCTCTTTGAAACCATTGCTTGTACACTCTTCGGCAGGTGTGTTGTCGTTTTATTGTCTCTCACAAGTGGAGAACAACAAGTAGACAATTTTTTCCCCCCAACAACAAAGTATGTTAAAAAAAAAAGAAGTTAACAACGGCAATAAGAAATTTACACAAACAATAACGGCGGGTAGGGGGGAGACAACAAAAACGTGATGTAAGCATTTGTCAATAAAATTACTACCAGCAAACGAACGAACGGGTGACCGTGTTGCCAGCCAGGTACTTCAACAACCGGCTTCTGAGATCAACACGTAGAACAGGCACGATATGGGAGACGCAACAACAAGAATATAAACAACAAAAATAACAATGCAAATTGCTGGAGATCGGCTACCTATGTATGTATATACAGATGTAAGAGTGTGTTTGATGCATATGTACGTTTGTATGTGTGTGAGTGCCCCTTTGGTTCACTTGGTTGCACTTCTTTCGTTCGTTCGTTTCGTATTTGTTGTATGTGTTTTGTTTATTATCATGTTTTGCCTGATTTTTTTTTTTTGGTTTTTATTTTTACTAAGCGCTTAGTGGTTGTTTGTGTTTGATATCTGGAAGATATACTCTGGCGCTTCTAGGTGATTCTTCTCTTCTTCTTATTCCATTTCCGCTCCCGCTACTCTTTTCTACGCTCGCTAGCCATTGTGCTGTTCATCGATGCTTTGTTAAATTTTCGAGTTGCTGTTGCCGCTGCACTCGATTTTTCGTCAGTCTATCACGAGTATTCAACGAAACGAAGTGTTGTTGCTGCCATTTAGTGTTGCCGCTTCAGCGCAAATGCAAATCGATCGGTTGGTCGGTCAACGGTCAAAAGCGCATCGAATCCACCGAGTTGAAAGAAATTTATATATTTTTTTTGGTTTAAAACTGAATATGCAAAAATGTAACGCGTAGCTGGTGGCGATCGCGTTTCTCTTTTTCGCAATTTTATTCAACGAATTTCGAGTACTTTTTTGTGGTGTTTCTAAAGAAAATCGAAAATCAACGAAGTTGTGTAGTGATACATATTTAGTAATCAAATAAAAAATAAATGAAACAAAATATACATAGAAAAAGATTGGAAACATAATCTGTATTAAAAAAATGCTCATCTGCGGAATGAATTATTGCTGTGCTACCGGACTTTAATGAAATGGAAATATTGAGCTGGAAATAGTTATTTATGGTATTTTTGTAGGCTTCCAGAGAAGTTCACAGTATTTTACAATTTACATACATATGGATACATATGTATGTATATATTTATTTTTTATTTGCGTAAAAGTGCAGAGAGGTGAACGAAAGAAAGTAACATTTATTTCAAGAATATAAGAAAATCTTACTTTAATCTAATGTAGCATTTTTAGCATAAATATATTAAATTTTAAACTACCTTAGCCACATAAATAAATTAGTTGCATACAGTGACTCAAACAAGTGACCTCGGGTTGATTTTTTGTTTTAAATATTTACAATGTTTTTCAAGTAATTTTTTGTTGTTATTTTTCTATATCTAAAAATATTACCCTAGCTTTAACCAAAACCGTAAAAATTAATTTTTATTATTTAGGAATATATACATATTTTCAGCAAAATCTCAAATTGTAATTCTGAATCTTTAGAACATTTTCGGGTAATTTTATAGCCCATACGATTTGCAAGTTTCAAGCGGCTAAAAAAGCAAGTTGATTTTTAATATATTGTCGGATTTTCGCACTTTTTTCCGCTTAAACAAGAATTTCTTAATAAAATGCGGAAGACCGTTCGAATCAAACTTTAAAAAAATCCACGACAGTATTTATAAACTGCACTTGTTATATAAAAAAATGTGCGTCCGTGGGCCGTGGGCCGTCACCAAAAACAATAAATAAATAAAAATCAACGCGATTTTTAGACGCTTGAAATTTGAACTTCATTCGACTAAAATTGTATGCGCTATACAACTGCATACCCAAAAATGTTCTAAAGATTCAATTTAAAAAGTTTTAAATTTTGATGAAAATTTATTGAATTTTCCTAAGTTTTATACAAAGTTTGTAAATAGATTTCACATACATATATCGTCACTACACACCAATAAAGGCGCGCTAGTGTTTTGACGGCGACAAAAGGTGCGTAATAAAATTTTGCGAAAAAAGATGCTTATGAAAAACTTCGGCGAAGTATGTTAAGAGTCTTCGACGCTGAAGTTTTTTTATGCGTCCTTTTTCGCCGTCAACTTTTGAGCTCGCGCCTTTATTCGTGTCTA